TTGGCATCTGAGAGCATTCACAATGGGCTCCGTAAATCACCTCATTAACAAATTTTAGTGAGGAATTGAAAAAATACAACTCCAATCATGCTCCCTATCCACCTTCTAAACTAGGGAGACCTCTAGAAGCTCCTAAATCTGAGGAGAGAAAAAGGACTCTTAGTGGCTTCTTACAATTTAATGATGCTTTATTTAATAAGTATTTCAAACTTTTAATTAATGCTAACTTTTTTTAATATTATTTTTTAATAGAGATGGACCAATTAAAAAGAGTTATAGCATTTATGATTCCCTAAACTAGAGAGCATGATTGGAGTTTAAATTTTATAGAGATCTCCTAAGAACTTTTATATGTTTTTAGCTAAAATTTAACTGAAAAATAGAGAGCATAATTGTGGATGCTCTGACAACCATTTGTACTTTGCCCTTCATTATGGTAAAATTCTAAGATGCATTTGAGGAATACAATTATCATTGAGATTTCAGTTTTGAGTACAGGAATGTGAGCAATTACTCTCTCTACGTAGAGCTTGTATAAATAGGGATACGCATCAATGGGTACTGAATTTGCATAAGCTTTGTTATGATAGCGAACCAAACCACCTGCAGACTTGAATTATGGACTTCTTAGCACAGCTGTTAACCTGGACTTTTCTTGCTTTATCTCAAGTCCTGCAAGAGCTATCTCTATTAATGCATCTGGAAGGAAAATACAAATGGAAGTAATTGTTTTTGACTGTGTATAGTAATTGTTTTTGTTCATTCATAACCGAGTAAATACACTTTGGGAAATATTTTGGTGACTGAAAATTGTTGGGAAGCTTTAGCATCCAACCTCTTTTTACTCAATTTGTCTCCCAACTTTCTCACGCTAGGATATTATGGGGGCCCAGTTGGATAGATATTGATAATTCGATTCTAAAGTATCACCAACTGTTCTACTTCCCTAAAAGCATCACCAAATAAGATTTATTATGTAATCTTCCACATCTAACTACACATGTTATAAACAGTTTTCCAAAAATCCTAGTCCCCTCTCTCCCAAAAAACATTCTATGGCCGTTTTCACTTTGAGAGGATAGGAGTCAATGTTCTTCCTCCCCTCTCTCCTTCTTCCTTCCTACCTTCTCCTCTTTTCCCCAATTTTCAGAGATAGAAGGTTTCCCCTATTTCTCTTCGTTTTGTAATGATTTTCCTCTACTCAAAGCTGGTGAGCATGTTGCCTCTTTGTACTAAGGTCCTTTTCAATCTTAATGAAGTTGACATCAATCCTTCAATTAATAATTAAGTGCAAGCACATGAGCCTCCTAAACAGTTCATCTAACTTGCTATAAATAATGAGGTTGCTGGAACTGACAAAGAGCACCAAAGCCAGCTTAACCAACTTGTAAAAGTTCGATTTACTACTTTTATAACATTTTAGTGTTGCAGGGTTTTTCAATGCAGACCCATCTTGCTTTCCAAGGGGCCCTTCTGGGTCTCTGGTTGTGCTTGTTTGCTGTAAGCTTCTGCTACAGCAATGCAGAGACTATTGAGGAAGCTGGAGAACAAGCACAAAAAATCTGTAATACATTATTAGCATAAAAATATGTGCCATAGAATTAATTTTGGCTATGTGATTGGCAATTTGATACCAAATATTGTAACATCCTACATCGACCAACGGAGAGGAGGTGATATGCCTTATATGTACATGCCCAACTCCATCTAGAACGAGGCCTTTTGGGAGCTCACTGGCTTCGGAGTCATGGGAACTCCGAAGTTAAGCGACTTTGGGCTAGAACAATCTCAGGATGAGTGACCCAATGGGAAGTTGCTCGTGAGTTCCCAGAAGCAAAATCGTGAGGGCAAGGGGCTCAAAGCGGACAATATTGTGCTACGGTGGAGCCGATCCGAGATGTGACAGAACGGTATCAAAGCCACTTTGCCGTGTGGTGTGAGTATGCTGACGAGGACGTCAGGCCCCTAAGGGGGTGGATTGTAACATTCCACATCGACCAATGGCGAGGGGGTGATGTGCCTTATATGTACATGCCCAGCTCCATCTAACACGAGGCATTTTGGGAGTTCTCTGGCTTTGGAGTCATGGGAACTCCGAAGTTAAGCGAGTTTGGGCTAGAGCAATCCCAGGATGGGTGACCCACTGGGAAGTTGCTCTTGAATTCCTAGAAACAAAACCGTGAGGACAGGAGGCCCAAAGAGGACAATATCGTGCTACGGCAAAGCCGATCCAGGATATGACAATTCCTCACAATGCCACCCTTCTTAAATTATTCTTTAACAGTCTTTGTCAGTTGTCCATTATTCCTCAGACTGGAAATGACGTGGACTTCGATGACGCCAATCATCAACACTAGGCCATACGACGTGGAGGAGAAAAATTGGGTGATGATAAGAAGAATATGGTGAAATTGCCTCATTGCTGAAACAAGGCTAAATTACCAAAGCCTCTATCTAATCGTGCTTGAACATTGGCGTTATCTTTGCGGTTGTTCATCCAGGTAAAAGGATGACCCACAAAATCAAATGATAACAAATTATAGGCATCAATTACCAGTTGAAAATCTTTGATTTGACCGACAGAGCTGAGAGGAGGGCTACTTTTTTGTCCACAGACAGAATTTCATTGAAGTCACCGCAACACATCCATGGACCAATATCCACCTGACTCAAATGGCGAAGAAACTCCCAAGAATGAATACGCCGAGTAGGGTCAGGATGACCATAGAACCTAGTAATTCGTGTAACAAAGGAATTAGGAAAGGTAACCCGAGCGTCAATATGTCTCAAAGAGGATGAAAGCAACACAACTTGTAAACTAGGGTTCCAAAGAATACAGAGACCACCGTTCACGGGGAACACAGAGGACTCCACCCACACCAAGTCTTCGGACCAATCTGCCCATCTGGATAGCAGTCATACGAGTCTCAGTAAGGAAAAGAATATATGGTGTTTTGTCATGTAAGAGGTTTCTAAGATCACGAAACATACTATGACTGCCAAGCTCCCGCATGTTCCAGCTTAATACAGATATAGCAGAGACCAGAATTTCCACTCTAACCAATGAGCCAAGTCGAACAAAAAAACCATGCTAAGGATAAAGACAGAGACAAAAGAGCAAAAATCCAAAGAATTACCACAACACTAGCACGCTTAGGAAAACACCGGTAGGGGCCCAGACTCAAAGACAGTGAAACCAACAGGTGGGCGTCGCATGGGAGACACGAGGGGAGAGAGCCCTAATTCCGACCTTGCTCACAATCGAAACCAGACCAGCCAATAAAATCCTCAAGGGACCAATTGATTAGCACCTTTGATGAGCCTGAGTGAAGAAGGGAGAGACAAAACGAGTCGCTCGTGGCAAGCAATAATGCGAGAAGGAGAGACAATGACGACACCTATTGTGGGCAAAGGAGGAATGATGGCGGCTGGGTGCATGACGGCGGCAACTGACCTTGAGAGGGTACCCTAGATATGACGTGCGGCTCTCCTCGCTTAGCGAGAGAGCGACCCTTGGAGCTAATTTCCTATCATTCTTTGTATTGTTATGGATGGTTTTTTCAAGCTTTATCTATTTTTGTTATTATGAGTTTGCACTTAGTTGGGATGCTTATGCCAGAGTTTCTTTGATCCTGTGTGATCGTTTTGTCCTAATTTTGATGTATGATCGCTTCGTTATTGTAATGCCCTTTGTGGCTAGTGGCTTTTTTGATTGAATTATGAATGCAATTCTAGAATTTCTAAAAAAGGAAGAAAAAAAAACATATTATAATATGAGTGTGTGTCATAATTGATAAGTCATGAATATGGTATAGTATTAATTGTAAAAAAAAGGTATAGTATTAGTTAATAGATACAGGTGTTATAATATAAATAGATTGGTAACATGCAAGGGCTTGCAGCTCAAGTGATAATCGTCACACCGAAGAATTTCCAAAAAATATAACCTCTTAGCTAGTACCCTGGTAGCATATATAAGAAAGTTTTCTCAATGTGTTCCTCACCTCACACCTCCTTGTGTGACTACTTCTTTTATTTTCTTTTTTTGTCGAAACATTGTGCTACTAGTTCACATGTTATAAATGGTGAACAACATGATTAATTTATTAGGGACCTAGGGTATAGTATTAAATAAGAATGTTTCCATTCATGCCTCCTTGTCATATTTAGCCAAACGCTATTTGATTAAAATTTTAATGAGCAATTTGAGAGAACCTGAACGCTTAGACGTCTAGATTATATTTGGTTGCTCAAGAAAATCAACATACATTATTAATATTGCTTAAGAGTTGAAAGAGGTGCAGATCATTGGCTTTATCTGAAGTCCTGCAATATAAGGAAACAAGTAATGCTAGTAATTTTTTTCCTGAGTATATATGCTATGGACGTCAGAATAAGTTATAAAATTTTGTTTGTATATTTAAGCATATTTTTAATTTATTTTATTTCTTAAGAGAAAAAAAATTGTATTTCCAACAAGATATTAGCATGTCACTGTCATATATCAACTAGGTGAATAAATATAGGAAGAAAATCATCGTGGAAATGACTGATTCCGACTCTCACTCCTTCTGGTTCATTCTTATTGTTTTGATTACAAGTTAGTAAACATGTCATTATTACAATCTAAAGGATCACTAAATATTATTCCCCCAACATGTCATGACAAATTAAGATTGGGATTAGTACCCAAATGCCAAAATGTGACTTCATATAGTTAGAAGGCTCAATTATGCTGGTAGAAGTTAGGGAAGTGGAAAGTCAGTGAATGAAAATAAATACCATTTGAACTGCAAAGCCGGTGAGCATGTTGCCTCTTTGTACTAAGATCCTTTTCAATCTTAATGAAGTTGACATTAATCCCTCAATTAATAATTCATCTAACTTACTATATATAACAAGGTTGCTGGAACTGATAAAAAGAACCAAAGCCAGCTTAACCAACTTGTAAAAGTTGGATCTGCTACTTTTATACCATTTTATTGTTGCATGGTTTTTCAATGCAGACCCGTCTTGTTTTCCAAGGGGCCCTTCTGGGTCTCTGGTTGTGCTTGTTTGCTGTAAGCTTCTGCTACAGCAATGCAGAGACTGTTGAGGAAGCCGGAGAACAAGCACTAGACAAAGCTTATTCAGGTGACATATAATATATATAGTCTTAGTGTGATCAAATAGTTCTTTTAGGCTACTTGATTACACTACAAATTTTCTATTAGAAGGAAGCTACTTGACAGCTCTAGCAATGTAGCACAATACAATAACAAAAGTTACAAAACAGACCCCTTCATTGCTCTTCATTATTTTGAATTACTTACTGAAAACTCTAGGTTTGTTATTTTTTTTGTGAATTGTTTTTCTGATACGTAACATTCTTCTGCATCTCTTTGTGCACATGTCCAATTGAAGAGCTGCAAACAGAGTCTGCAGAGCTCAATGAAGAAGGGAAGTTTGTCTTTAAGAAACATCCTCCACCTAAGATTCCCATTGTAAAGAAGCCATTTCCACCGAAGCCCTTCTTCAAGAAGCCACTCCCTCCACCCTTCAAGAAGCCAATCCCTCCTCCAGTTCCAATCTTCAAGAAGCCACTCCCTCCACCTGTTCCCGTCTTCAAGATTCCACCCTTCAAGAAGCCGGGTCATCCGCTGGTACCAGTTGTGGAAGGAAAACCTTTTTAAAGAAGCCATTTTTTCATCCCCTTCCAAAATTCAAGAAGCCATCTCTACCTCCTGTTCCAATCTATAAGAAGCCACTTCCTCCACCAATTCCCGTATACAAGAAACCATTTCCCCATCCTATTTTCAAGAAGCCTCTTCCTCCACCCATTCCAACATTTCCTCCACATCCTTTCCTTGGGAAACCACTCCCTCCTCTGGTTCCCTAAGGCTAGCCTAGTGTTCTTTCACCTAAACCCATATTGTTAAGGGATGAAAGCATAGAAGTTATGTATTGGAATAGAATAAATTCCTACATGGAGAGAGAAAGAGACACAGAGAGAGAGAAAAGGAAGATGACAACGAAATAAGAGACTGTTCTTGGAAGTTGGAACTTTACTATCAACTTTTGCATTGTAATATTTCTACATGTATTGTAATATTTCTGCTTGTTCTTGCTGTTATATGGCTGCTGTGTGATAGTAAATTTGCATTTTATCAGTGTAAGGAAATATTTTTCATTAATTCCAAAGAATCAACCTCAAGCCCTCAATAAGACTTTTTCTGGATTAATTAGTACTCAAATGGTGAATTGTCAAGCCAACGGGTCCACAGCTTAATGGTAAGAGCACTTGGTGTAGATCAGTGGCCTCAAGTTCGAACCCTAAACTCAATGGCACCTCCCCCTTCCAAACTTTGACAACAACAAAATGGTGAATTGTCAAAGGAAAAGAACCACACTAAACCTACTTAATTAAGGACCAGTTTAATCATTACCGTAATTCTAATCCATGGAGGTATTTTACCAGTGAATCTATTATCGCCAAGATCAATGTTCCTCAAAAGAAGTGCAGGTTTGCAAGGAAAAAGGAATTTCTCCCTCGAAATTGTTGTTGTTCATCTTCAACATGAAAACAGAACCTGAGGCACCCATTGAACTGGGAAGATTGCCTGAGAGATTGTTGTATGCAACATCTACAATCATTATATGAGGCAACAGGCTCCATGCTTATTGTTTCTCAGAGAAAGGACTAACACGTCCTTAGTGAAACTGTGCTCTGAATCTTGGCATCTGACAACCATTTGTACTTTGCCCTTCATTATGGAAAAGAATGATATCATTTCATGTGAGAATATGAAAACTTCGTTATGTTTCCTATTAGATTGGTGAACTAGATACTAAGTTCTAGCAGGTTTTGATAAGAGTTTAAATTAGGTTATACCTTGAGGCCCAAAACCTTGTGGAATAAGGAAAGGTTTTGAAGCCTATTAAGGGGCCCTATTTATTTCCTTCTGCATGAATTGTTGCTTGATGGGCTTAGAAGATTAGTCAAGTCGACCCTTGGTGATGAGTAGAGACGACTTGACCTAGCCTATATAAGCTTAAGGCCCTGCTCTCGTCAGACACATTCTCTAACCCTAATCTCATCATAAAGAGAGACCTGAAACATGTTCGAAGAGAGAGTAGAAGTCTTGAGCCGTTCCTATTCTTGCTGGGATTGTTACTGCTGCGGTTGAATGAGTTCGGAGGTCATGTACTCAAGAAAGATGGCGCCAGGTATGTCTTTACGTATTTCAGATTGTGTGAAAGATCATGAACACGCATATAAAGAAATCTAACAATTGGTATCAGAGCTTTGAAGGGCATGATTTTTAGGAAGATTTCCAAAACTAATTTGCCTACGCTTTGTGAGAGAGGCGATCAAAACAACAAACTATAAAGTGCCTAGTAACTCCGTACCTAAGACATTTTTTTGAAATTTCGACTTCTAGAAAGCCTAGCCTGCGGCACCTTCATGTATGGGGTTGCAAAGCTGAAATTACAATCTATAACCCTCAAGAGAAGAAGCTTGATCCTAAATGATTTGCTATCACTTTATTGGTTATCCTACAAGGTCAAATGGTTCTAGATTTTACTATCCAAATTATGGTACCCGAATTAGATTTTAAGTTTTTTTTTTAAATTTTACCGTCCAAATTATAGTACTTGAATTGTTGAGACTGGTTGTTCAGTATGAAGAACTAATTAATCAACAACAAGAAGAACAAACTGCAGAAAACCAACAACAATAAAATTCACCTGAACCAGTGCAGTTAAGGAGATCTGATAGAACAAGAAGATCCACAACAATTTTGGATTATGTGTACTTACAGGAATCAGATTTTGACATTGGAGATAAGGCTGATCCAACAAGTTTTAAAGAAGGTATGGAGAGTTATAATGCAAACAAATGGAGGAAAGCAATGTTGAATAAACTCGAAAGCATGAAGAATAATCAAGTATGAGAATTAGTTGAACCTCACAAGAGCCAAAAATTGGTAGGCTTGAAATGGGTATTTAAAACAAAGAAGGATAAGGATGGAAGAATCGAAAGATTTTAGGCTAGATTGGTAGCAAAAGGATTCACCCAAAGGGAGGAAATTGACTACACTAAGACGTTTTTGCCAGTTTCCGCCAAAGATTCTTTCCGCATCATTATGCCTTTGGTGGTGCATTATGACCTACTTTTACATCAAATGGATGTAAAAATTGCTTTCCTGAATGGTGAACTCGAAGAAGAAAATTTTATGAGGCAACCTGAAGAGTTTGCAAAGGAGAGAAAAGAGCATATGGTTTGCAAACTTGACAAGGCAATTTAAGGACTAAAGCAAGCAAGCAGGAGGTGGTATTTCAAATTCCATCAAACTATTTCATCTAATGGTTTTGAAGAGAACATAGTTGATCAATGGATTTATCTGAAGAAGCGTGGGAGCCGATTTATTTTTCTAGTGCTGTTTGTCGACGATATACTTTTGGCTACAAAAGACCATAATTTACTGAAAGACACTAAGGAGCTAATTTCAAACAATTTTGAGATGCAGGATTTGGGAGAAGCCGCTTTTGTGTTAGGCATTGAAATTCAGAGAGACCGAGCTCGAGGCCTCCTAGGCCTATCACAGAAAACATACATTTAAAGGATACTCAAGCGCTTTGACATGAGTATGTGTTCTGGACAAAAAGGAGATTTAAAGAAGGAGTATTGCCCCAAGAATAAAGTAGATGAAGATGAGATGAGGAACAAGCCGTACGCTTCTCTAGTTGGAAGCATTATGTACACACAAGTGTGTACAAGGCTAGACCTAGCCTTGTGCATTAGCAAGATGGGGAGATTTCAGTCAAATCCGGGAATGCAACATTGGATAGCTGGAAAGAAGATTCTGAGGTACATGCAGAGAACAAAGGCTTATATGTTGATTTACAAACGCATAGAGAATTTATAGCTTGTTGGTTATGCTGATGCGAATCTTAGAAAAGTAGAGGATGATTACATCTTTACTTCAGGTTTTCTTTTCAAGATGGCAAGAGTAGATGTTGCTTGGAAGAGTACTAAACAATCTGGTGTTTCGAGTTCAACCATGTTTTCAGAATACATAGCTTGCTATAAAGCCACTTCTCACGCAGTATGGCTAAGGAATTTTATTAAAGACATTAAGGTGGTGGACTTGATTTCTAGACCAATACTGATATATAATGACAACATTACGATTGTTTTTCATTGCATGAACAATAAGATGTCGTATGGACTTCAGCATATTGACAGAAAATATTTAACAGTGGAGGAGGTAGCGAACAAACTAGTCAGGTTTGATCATATCAAAACTCAAGATATGATTGCAGATCCGTTCACAAAGTTTTTGCCTTCAGTAGCTTTTCCGAGACATGTTGAGAGCATGGGATTATTTCCTAGCTTTGATGCTGCAATTTAGTGGAAGTCTTGTTTCCATTCTGATATTTTACTAGTATGTTTATTTTTGCTATTTTTTGGATTAAGGGATCTGCATTTAAGGATGTTAATTTGGTTGACAGTTTTATTTATTATTTATTTTTGAATAAATGCTACCATTTTGACTATTTAGTTGCTTAAACTTAATTATTATGTAATTTTGTTTATGCAAGTGAGTTTATGGTCTCTTTTGAGATACTATTTTTTTAATAACGTTGCGGATTGACTATTGCTAAGTCGTAAAGGGGTACATGTACTGAAAGCATAAAGATTCACATTACGGATCAATACATATTAAAGTTCGCATTGGTAGCTACTTCATGTGTTTTGAGATTGCATTATGTGATTATAGATAGCCTATTTTTAATAAAGAGAGCAGTGCTTGTCTATAGTTTGTTTTGTCTAATCGCTTTTCACTCTAGCTTGAAGGGAAGGACTTAACTGATTTAAACTCATAGCCAATAAAGATTATCAAGCATTTTGGAATACAGAAGCTTAGTGCTCTAGTGCTTGATTTAGTGGAAGAATATTATGTTTCCTATTTAGATCGGTGCACTAGATACTAAGTTATATCAGGTTTTGATAAGAGTTTAAATTAGGTTATACCTTAAGGCCCAAAACCTTGTGGAATAAGGAAAGGTTTTGAAGCCTATTAAGGGGTCATATTTATTTCCTTTTGCGTGAACCGTTGCTTGGTGGTCTTGGAAGATTAGTCAAGTCGGCCCTTGGTGATGAGTAGAGACGACTTGACCTAGTCTATATAAGCTTAAGGCCCTGCTCTCGTCAAACACGTTCTCTAACCCTAATCTCATCATAAAGAGAGACCTGAAACAGATTTTGAGAGAGAGCAGAAGTCTTGAGCTGTTCCTGTTCTTGCTGGGATTGTTGCTACGACGGTTTGAATGAGTTAAGAGGTTGTGTACTCAAGAAAGATGACGCCGGGTATGTCTTTACGTATTTCAGATTGTGTGAAAGATCCTGAACACGCATATAAAGAAATCTAACAAACTTTACAAATCGAATATGACTTGAAGATTTAATCTCACAACCCAAAATTCGTCAAGACTAGGCTCCATGACATTACTATTTCTCAAGCTCAACTGGTAATTATGTCACCGGTTTTTCTGGTTCCAAGAAGAGGACCTGCCTCAATAATAGAACTTGGGGACCATATGGGGGTTATTAATGTAGTTCACTTTCAATTTGATTAGTCAAAGTCTGATGTCTAACTAAACCGACTTCCAATTGATATTTCCATGCTCACATGTCAAACTTTATACAAATTTGCCACGCCAGAATTTGTAGTTATGCATAGGTAATTTTATTTGCCTAATATTTAATTACTAAACTCATTCTTATGTGTGAGGAAAAGAGTAAGGGGTTATGTACATAAAAGTGTCCAAAACATATTTCTATAAATCTTCATTGATTAGTTTCCCTTCCAATTCACAATCATTTGAGTTTAAGTCAGTTTCTTAGTGCGCAAGTTACTTAATTCTTTCAAGTTTATTAGGGTTTCTACACTACTAATAGTGGCATGTTTGCAACTCATTCATTCTCAAGCCTATCTCTAAAGCTTGGATATTTTAGAGTAAACATTAAAATAATAATAATATTTATTCCCAACAGTATACTAGGTGAACAAAAATTGGAAACAAATAATGGTGACTCTAGTGGGAATGACTGATTCCGACTCCTCACTCTCATTCTGATTACAAATTAGTAAAAATATCATTTCTCACATGGAGTAAGCGCTTGGATTTTATTATTTCAAAGGATCACCAAATATACCCCAAAAAGTACATGACAAATTAAGCTTTGGTTCGTATCCAAATGACAAAATGTGTGACTTCATAGTTAGTGGTAGCATCCTTTGATACTTCTTAGTCAGCATTAATGCCATTTGACAAACTTGAACAATCAGAACAGCTATGCTTGCTAGCAGTTGTCATTGGATGAAATAAATACTATTTGAGCTGCAAAGCCAGTGACATGTTGCCTCTATGTACTAAAATCCTTTTCAATCTTAATGACCTTGATATCAACCCCTTAATTAATAATTAAGTGCAAGCAGACCTAAGCCTCCTAAACTTACTATATATAGCATGCCTGCTGCAACTGATAAAAAGCACCAAAGCTAACTTAACCAAATTTTAAAAGTTGGATTAAGCACTTCTATAAGTGGCAGCTTAAGAAAGGTTTTCAATGCAGACCCGTCTTGCTTTCCAAGGAGCTCTTCTGGGGCTCTGGTTCTGCTTGTTTGCAGTAAGCTTCTGCTACAGCAATGCAGAGACTGTTGAGGTCGCTGGAGAACAAGTAGTACTAGACAAAGCTTTTTCAGGTGAGATATATATATATTTATATGTGTGTGATTATATATTAGTCTTGAGATCACATAATGACATTCTTCTGCATCTCTTGTGCACATGCATGTCCAAATTGAAGAGCTCCAAACAGAGGCTGCAGAGCTCAATGAAGAAGGGAAGTTTGCAGTGCTTACACCAAAACCCTTCTTCAAGAAACCACCTGTACATAAGATTCCCATAGTAAAGAAGCCATTTCCACCGAAGCCCTCCGTCAAGAAACCACCTCTACATAAGTTTCCCACTGTAAAGAAGCCATTTCCACCACCAGTTCCAATCTTCAAGAAGCCACTCCCTCCACCAGTTCCAATCTTCAAGATTCCACCCTTTAAGAAGCCGGGCCATCCGCCGGTGCCAGTTGTGGAACGAAAAATTGGGGATCCAGGATATCGGCCTCCAGAATATCCATCGAGACCATTTCCCTCTCCTGTTTTCAACTAGGCCTCTTCCTCCACCCATTCCAACATTCAAGAAGCCTTTTCCTCCACATCCTTTCCTTTGTAAGCTACTCCTTCCTCTGGTTCCCTAAAGCTAGCCTAGTGTTCTTTCAACTATAACAATATTGTTAAGGGATGAAAGCATAGAAGTTGTGTATTGGTATAGAATAAATTTCTGCATGGAGAGAGAGAGAGAGAGAAGAAAAAAAGGATATGACTAGGAAAGAAGAAACTGTTCTTGGAACTTTATTATATATTTCTGCTTGTTCTTGCTGTTATATGGCTACTGTGTAATACCAACTTCGCATTTATCAGTTCAAGGAAGTATTTTTCAATAATTCAATAGAATCAACCTTAACCCTCAGCACATGAGACTTTTTCTGGATTAATTAGTTCTCAAATGGTGAATTATCAAAAGGAAAAGAACCACTAAACCTACTTAATTAAGGACCAGTTTAATCTGAATCTTGGAATGACCCTAATGCTAAGTCCTTCCTGAAACTGTGCTCTCAATCTTGGCATCTGACAGCCATTTGTACTTTGCCCTCCATTATGGCAAAGAATGATCAGATTTCATGGACAATATGAATACTTGAAAATTCGAATATAACTTGAAGATATAATTAATCACACAACCCAAAACACTGTGGCGCTATCCGAATCAATCACTTATTGTTATGTGCACTACTACATTTTAGTCTTTGCGCGACGAAGGGGTCTTCCTCGCGCAAAAATGATTTTAGTCGCACATAATTATGCGCGACAGAAGTTTCGTCGCGCACAGTCCATCGCGCAAAGTTCGTGAAGAAAGGATTTGCGCTACGTATAACAACTTTGTTTAAAAAAACATTTCGGGACGACCTCAATGTCCGTCGCACAAATATTTGCGCGACGAAACAGTGGTCGTCGCAAAAAAACTGCGCGACGGACTCTTCCGTCGCGCGAGATACATGAACTTTGCGCAACGAAATAATATTCCTCGCGCATACACATTTTGCGCAACGAAATTATTCGTCGCGCATGAATAAAATATATTTGTCGACATGTTATTTAAATTTTTTTGCGCGACGATTTACGTTTCGTCGCGCAAAAGCAATATATATTATTAAAAAAAAATTATTATTATTTGATTTTTAATTTTGTAAAAAAATAAATTTGGTTTTTTTTTAATAATTAAAATGAAATTACAATAAAAAGATTAATTGTAAAGAAAACATCTATTATATAAAATAAAAGGAATGTATACAAATTGTAAAAGTAATTATAAAAATAAAAAACTAATCAAATAATGTTCCAAAATCTACTTGGTCATCTGCCACATGCGGCTCGGAGGTATGGGCGTTTGCAGGGGCCGTGGTGTGCTGGGGATGCTCGGGGTGGACGGGCTCGGAGGTCGACGCACCAAAATTCGGGATTGGAATGCCGGACCGCGCGAGGGACTGCAGAATCACCGACATCTGACCCTCAAGCTCGGCAACCCGCGATGTCAAAACAGTCACCTGACTGTTTGCCTGCGACGATGACCGCGGTCGAGGTTCCCTCTGTCGGGCATTCCCCATCCCCCTACAATACGTTCCCGGCCTCCTCCCGAGAGTCTGATCCAACGTCTGCGTCAAAATCTGAAATCCAGCATCATGCGGAGGATCCACAGACTCGATCGGAGTCTCGGGAGGAAGTTGGGAGGCGGACTCTTGAAGAACCAACTGGCTCCTCTCCACCATCGTCGTCTGTTTAACATTACATAAAATATAAATTCAAAAATGCATATAAATTGAAAGTGTAACATAAGAATTAAAAATACATAATACTTACATGAAGGGACTCGGCCAACTCATTCCCAGGTCGAACATAAACGTCACCAAAGACGTCGATCTCTGGGAATTTCAACCCCCCCTTAATTGAACAAGAGAAGGAAAATATTAGTATGAACAAAAGAAATTAATAATAATGACGTATTAAAAATTAAATATAAATTATATTATTCTTACCCGACGCCGTGCATCCATCCTATATGAGAAGGGCCTGGAGCCGGAATGGTGAAGAAGAGTCTTCTTCTTCCTATTGCCCTTATTCACTTGGGCTTTATTCTGTTATACAAAAAATAAAACGTAATAGTTGAACTATAAATAAATTAAATAATAATGAGATATAAAAAATAAAATAAACATTAAACAAATATTATT